TAAGGTTTATCAATCCGTGAGAGGTGTAGGATGAAGATGGTCTCTCTCAAACGACCCAACAATCAAATACAAGAAATCTCTTGTGTCCCCAACACACCCAATATAATGGCAAATTGTATAGATGCACTAATTCGGCGAAGAGATGGTGATAAAAGTGTAATATGGATGGTAGAAATATATTTTTATAATCTGAATAAATAAAAACAACAAGGTAGCAAAATAGTAAATGGCACAAAAACGGTATTGCAATGCTTGAAAATGAGGCCTAGGGTTCGGAATATTTAGGAATTTATAGGGCAAAGAGGGGGTGTGGGAGGCCAACGAGGGGGGCATAATCCACCTGGGCGCGCCAGGGCTGGTGGGTTGTGCCCCCTCGGGGCACCCCCAGGTGCTTCTTTGGCCCACTGTTGGTCTTCTGGTCCATAAAAAATCTCCGTGAAGTTTCGTTGCATTTGGACTCCGTTTGGTATTGATTTCCTGCGATGTAAAAAACAAGCAAAAAAACAACAACTGGCATTGGGCACTGGGTCAATGGCTTAGTCCCCAAAAATTATATAAAGTTGCTATAAAATGATTGTAAAACATCCAAGAATGATAAAATAGTAGCATGAATACTTCATAAATTATAGATGCGTTGGAGACGTATCAGGTAACAAATAGTAAACGGGCACAAAAACGGTATTGCAATGCTTGAAAATGAGGCCTAGGGTCCGTACTTTCACTAGTGCAATCTCTCAACAATGCTAATATAATTGGATCATATAACCACCCCTCAAAGTGCGATGAAGAACCACTCCAAAGTTCCTATCTAGCGGAGAACATAAGAATAAATTGTTTGTAGGGTACGAAACCACCTCAAAGCTATTCTTCTCGTTCGATCTATTCAAGAGTTCATACTAAAATAAACACAAAGCTATTCTTTCCGTTCGATCTATCCTAGAGTTCGTACTAAAATAACACCAAAGCAAATTCATATTCATAATACTCAATCCAACACAAAGAACTTTAAAGAGTGCCCCAAGATTTCTATCGGAGAAACAAAGACAAGAACGTGCATCAACCCCTATGCATAGATTACCCCAATGTCACCTCGGGAATCCGCGAGTTGAGTGCCAAAACATATATCAAGTGAATCAATACGATACCTCATTGTCACCACGAGTATTCAATTGCAAGACATATATCAAGTGTTCTCAAATCCATAAACGTATTCAATCCGATAACAACGAAATCTCAAAGGGAAAACTCAATTCATCACAACAAGATAGAGAGGGGGAAACACCATATGATCCAACTATATTAACAAAGCCCGCGATACATCAAGATCATGACATCTCAAGAACACGAGAGAGAGAGAGAGAGAGATTAAACACATAGCTACTGGTACAAACCCTCAACCCCGAGGGTGGACTACTCCCTCCCCATCGTGGTGGCCGCCGAGATGATGAAGATGGCCACCGAAGATGATTCCCCCCTCCGGCAGGGTGCCAGAACGGGGTCTATATTGGTTTTCGGTGGATACAGAGCCTTGCGGAGGCGGAACTTCTGATCTAGGTTAACCCCAAGGGTTTTTGGAATATTTGTGAATTTATAGGGTAAAGAGGGGGTGCAGGAGGCCACCGAGGTGGGCACAGTCCACCTGGGCGCGCCTGGGCCCCCAGGCGCACCCTGGTGGGTTGTGCCCCCCTCGAGGCACCCCTAGGTGCTTCTCTGGCCCACTGGTGGTCTTCTGGTCCATAAAAATATACAAAAAGTTTCGCGGTGTTTGGACTCCGTTTGATATTGATTTCCTGTGATGTAAAAACAAGCAAAAAACAGCAACTGGCATTGGGCACTGGGTCAGTAGGTTAGTCCCCAAAAATGATATAAAGTTTGCGAAGCATAATGCGGTGAGTAAAAACCGGCTTGGAAAACTTTGCGAAGCATAACCTCTCTCAACTTCGTGTATGATTTCGTGGCGAAATAAAATGCCCATAAGGATATGATGAATGATGTTTGGCACTGGTCAACGATTTTGCTAGCAATACGGCCAAGTCTAAAAGCATATGGCATGACCACTAACTTCAAAATCACATTGATGACGACAATCGGCCTACATTGGGTAATGCCCAAGGATAGCGAAATTCAGACGCGCAATCTCCACCGCCACCAATGTTATTCTAGTGATGATATCCATGATCAGAGGTTAAAAAAAATCCAACAACGCTTATAGCAACAAACCGGGAAACCATCCATTACGAGAGCAGTGGAAAACCATTCTCATCGTCGTTGAAATCAGTTACAAGTGATGGAGAAACTAGACGGCTATTCATGATAGTTCGATTATATCTATCCAGTTCAAATTATTCGCTTGGACCTTCTGATTTATTGGAAGATCTGACATATGACCGCTCGTGTATTTTCTTGTAAATTTTACATGTTTGAACTTTCGGTATATACTGTACTAAAAAGAAAACTTTCGGCATACCAATTGTTTTATTCATGTATTGTTTTGAAATAACTTCAAACAACATGATAATAATAATGTGAGAAACTGGTTTTGAATACCCATCATTTTCGCCATTTTTTCACTCTTTGTCCTTTTCAAAGGTGAGAAAAATATTAGCACAGGAGCGTTTCAACCAGGGCACCTGGCAAAAGAAGGTCAGGTGGGCGTGGGAATGGCCAATGGCCGCCTTGACCGTCCACTAATCCACCGCGAGACAAAACTACAGAAATATACTACTGGGAGAATAATAATAAACACGGGATCCCCGCATCACCCCAAGCCACCTGGTTCCCCTCACGTCGCCGTGCTTCGTTTGCGCGACCACAGGCCCGCGAGCCAGCGCGACGAAGCCGGGGGGCGATCCCTCCACCGCCGCCGGCGACCCCATCCCCCGAAGCCGCCGGCGGTACCGGCCCACGCCGCCCTCCGCGATCCCCCACCCGGTTCGTCCTCCCTTCATTTCTAGCCGATGAATGATTGGTGCCGCTTGTTTGGGCCGTTCTGGAATCCCCAGATGCGATTAGCCTCCTGATCCGCGAGGTAGGGAATGTGGCGCCGCGCCGTCGGGCCGATGCGGCTCGATTTCGTAGGCTATTGATGGCATGGCTCGTTTGATTGCTCGATCCGATTTGGTAGGCTTGTTTGATGGCATGGCTCGTTTGATTTGGGCCCCGTTCGGTGGCGTGGTCGCTTGATTGCGTTTGACTTATTGTTTCCTCTGCCGATCCGTCGGCCATTTCGCCTCGTTACGGATTGGAATGCAACCATGAATTTGGTACTCCGTTTGATGTGGAGTTCGAGGCGATAGATTAGGAAGATCTCAGGTCCAAGGTGCCTGGAATCGGGGACGATTGATGAGCCTAGCGATTTCTGTATACGAATCCCCCATTCATCTCGTTGCACGAATTTCACCATGCCCATTTTCGTTTCCGTGATCACAAGGGAGATCTATACACGTGGGGCGCACCACTACGCTTGCAAACCACACGCACACGCCTACAATTGACAAGAGGCTGGTGACAAATCCGCTTATCTCACAAGATCTGCGACTAATGTGAATATGAGAGTTCGAACCATGGTTGGAGTTCTCCACCGACAACTTCAGCGCCTCGTTGAAATGGTGTCTATCTGTCCTGTGCATTCCACAGGGTATTTCATCTTACCTGATCTAAAACCGATGTGTATGTTTTGAGCCTGATATCACATGTCTTTCTGTGTGCTGGCCGGTCAGGTTTCATTGGGGTGGCCTGGCCGAGCCAAGCCAAACCAAGTGTTAAGTCTGTATCGTGGAAGATTGAGGCTGCATTTGGCATTTCGATGGATTATAATAATCCAGCTTAACCAACCAGCTTTTATCGTGGAAGATTGAGGCTGCATTTGGCATTTCGATGGATTATGATCAGCCAGCTTATCCAACCAGCTTTTGTCTATTTTGTTGTTTCTGTAACCAACATATCTCTAGTTTTGTGGATGCTTTCCACAGCAGATTATAAAATAAACTCAGGTCTACTACAGTTCAGTAACCACAATCTGAGCCTGAGTTGGCTTATTACGTTCTGCTGGTCTTTTCATGCACCTGTAGAATGTTTCCTCCCAGGGTGAAAACACTATGGAATGTTTCTGCCTCAGCTCCATTCTGGGAAAAAAGGGAATCAGCGAGTTTTTTCATAAACAGAAACTGAGACGGCTTGAACATATATGTGTGTGGTATTTTGTTGTTATGATGCAGAAGGTAGAAACGTATGCACAATTTTATACTACTTTGTAGTGAATCCCTGCCAATTGAACTAGATTTTTTTTGTTTGCACAGTTGAAGGGTTTTTTGCTGCCAGACTAACATTTGCTTTCATATATTTGTCTCCTACACAATTTGACACTATCTGCTTCTGTATCTGTTTCTAGCATTTCCGTATGTGTTTCCACTAATGCTAAAAATAATAAGCAAATGAGACTAGGCAGATGGGCACTATGTGCAATTTTTGTCTATTTTGTTGTTTCTAGCATTTCCGTATGTGTCTCCTACACAATTTGACACTATCTGCTTCTGTATCTGTTTCTAGCATTGTCTATATGCCAGCTGACATATGTGTTTTATCTTGAGTTACATATATGTGCAAATTTTGCGCAAGTTTAGTTTTTGCCAAAAATGAGAATGCATGGAAGCTATTTGATGAATGAAATTTCTGATCTTGGCATCTTAAACTCCCAAACTGTTACGGGCTTACGGCCCAAAACTAGCTATCTTGTATGCTTTAAATTTTATTATAATAACTAGGCTACCTGATGTTGTGCTGAGGGCCTGGAGTCCGACTTGTCATGCGTCGTGAAGATGCATTCTCGTGAGAGAAAAATAAAAAATATTATCATGTTTGCAACTTGAAAATGGTTACAAACGTTTTACTGTGGCCTTTTATTTTGATTTTAAATTCGATTATTGACTCCTCCTTCTATGTTTTGTGCAGGCACATAAATCTTTTTTGTTGTTGTGAGTTATCCGAAGTTCGCTTCAAACATGAGTGCTGCTAATCGTTCCCAACCGATCAAGTTGAACAGGCCTGTCGTAGGTGCGTAACATATTCTAGCTACTACATTATATGCCATATCTCATATTATTATTATTCTAGAACCATAGGAGGTCCTGATAACTGATATATCAGATGCAAGTTCTTCAAGAATTTTTACTATTTTTTTCCAGGCAAAGCACGAAAGTTGAAGGATCTCATGCTGAAAAGTGACAATCGAGTGTGTGCTGATTGTAGTGCACCTGACCCCAAATGGGCGTAAGTGCCTTTGTTGCACAGATTAAGGCATCAATTATATACATACACTTGTCTTGTTTTCCATGTCAAAAGAGAGATGTGTTGTACTCCCTCTGTTTCTTTTAAGACAAAACTTATATGCGGAGTAAAAAGAAACGTTGGGAGTATATATTTTCTACAGAATGATTATTCATTTTACATAGATAAATTGTACAGTAGGTTTGTTATGTGACATACACATAGTTCTTAAATCATACTCGTGGTGCATAATACAGTGCCAGCACACTGAAGCTAGGAACCTTCGTTTGATCTTGCATTGCTTCTATCTTAACCTTACCTCCGTGCATTTCAGGTCTTCTAATATCGGAGTATTTCTTTGCTTAAAATGTGGAGACGTCCACAGGGCCCTTGGACAAGACATTTCAAACGTAATTTATCACATCAATAAATTTCTTCTCACCTTTGTCTCTCCCGACTAATTCCACTAATAGGCCTATGTGGATCTTATTTCATTATTTTCCTGGTTGTACCTAATATGTAAGGACACATTCAATTTATCTTTATTCTTCACCTGTTCTTTGTGTCAGGTTTTGTCTTTAACTTTGGATGATTGGTCTGATAGTGATATTGACTCCATGATTGAGGTTGGTGGAAACTCATATGCAAATTCAATTTATGAGGCTTTTCTTCCAAAAGATCACCCAAAACCTAAACCAGACTCACCAATGGAATATCGTACCAAATTTATAAGGTGGTAATTGCTCCACTTCACACTCTGATGTCATCAGGATTTCAGTATTAATCTTTTATCTTTCTTAATTAATATACAGAGCCAAGTATGAAACACAAGATTTTCTGAAGCCAAGTTTGCGCATTAGCTCAAAGGCAGGTTTAGAATCTACCAAATCTCTGAACAGTGTGGATAATAGTTTCTCTAGCACTTCAAGGAAGCATGCCCCAGTAAGTTTTCGTGCTGAATCATAGATGATACAGTTGTACAGATTTATGCAACTCTTTCTTTCTTGTGCTGGAAAGATTGAGCGTATCTGATTGAAGCTGCATTACTGTAATCAATCTTACCCTTACAAATGGTCACAGGAAGATACAAGAGAATTTGTTGGACAACTGAACATTACAGTGGTAAAAGGTTCTGGGTTGGCGGTCAGAGATATGCTTACAAGTGATCCTTATGTTGTTTTAAGTCTTGGAGAGCAGGTAAAGTTTCATTTCCTTGTCACTTCCTAGGATTAATGCCCATGGCATCATCTTTGGGTCAAAAAGTAATCTGTGTTTGTTACGGTGACCTGTTCTGAAAACATCAACTATTGGGTTCTAAATGCAGAAGGCTCAAACAACAGTTAAAGCGAGTGACCTGAACCCGGTATGGAATGAGGTTCTTAATCTATCAGTTCCTCGAAATTATGGACCTTTAAAACTTGTAAGTTTGATGGAACTATTCACTCTAGATTTTTTTTTGTTTCTCTTCACATGCAACTCATGTAATAGTGAAGCACATACGAGGTATCAATGATTGAAGTTGTGTAAAACAACAGTAAACCTTACTGTATTTGCCTTGATTTCAATTATATAGAGTGAAGTGCTTCCTAGGTCCTCGAACTATGTTGAAGGTGTCATATAGGTCCTCAAACTATGAACAGTGTCATCTAGGTCCTCAAAAATCCTTGAAGTGCAATAAGTGTGTGTATATGTGACACCTCTAAAATAGATCAAGGACCTACGTGACACTTTTGAAATAGTTTGAGGACCTGGATGACACACATATTGCACTTTGAGGACCTAGATGGCGATTTTCATAGTTCGAGGACCTACATGACACTTCTGAAACAGTTTGAGGACCTATGATGCACTTCAGTCAATTATATATAAGCAGATTTTAACTATTGCAAACCTAGTTAACTATTAGTACTTGATTAATGCCAAAATAAAGAGTTTAATAAATAGCTGGCTCGATCACATTAACATTCCCATATTTCAACTGCAACATACCTTGTCGATAAGTTTCTGTTGCATCAATATCAGTTATGGACATGTGCCTTAGTTAGTGAACCAACTACGAGATGAAGGGATGATTCTATGATGAAGAGCACCTTATGAACATCATCATTTTTGTCAAGATTTCTGTGCAGTGGAAGCGCAAAGATTCATATATTTGCTTCCTTATTACTTCAGATGCATTTAACTGTAGTCCACTTGTCCGACTGGAAAACTTTGTGTCCAATGGGCTGGTATGGTATGGTAGGGTACACATGTTTGAATATCTTATGATGTTACCAAATTGTAGTTCTCGACAGAGATTTCATGATGTCTCAAATGATAGCTCATCATTGAAGCACACACATATGTGAGAAAAGAAACTCTTTAATAAATTCATGTAGTCCTTGCAAACAGTAACAAATCAGGCAAGACAATGTTTTTTTTCTCACTCCCTGATACAATCTTACTGTTTCCAGGAAGTGTATGATCACGACACTTTCTCTGCTGACGATATCATGGGGGAAGCAGAGATAGATCTGAAGCCAATGATCACAGCTGCTATGGCCTTTGGAGACCCGTCGCGTCACGCGGACATGCAAATTGGAAGGTGGTTCATGACCAGAGACAATTGCCTGTTGAGCGACAGCATTGTCAATATTTCGTCGGGAAAGGTAAAGCAGGAAGTTTACCTAAAGCTGCAGAACGTAGAATCAGGTGAGATGGAGTTAGAACTGGAATGGGCTCGTCTAGATTAAATAAGCCTCGCTGTATCCCTGTCAAAGTTAACTCAGAAAGCATAAATGTTTTGTTATTTATGCTGGATGGCTTCGAAACCTATCTAGTTACCGAAGCTTAGCTTTTCCTCATGGCCGAAATGTGTAAAAATGAAGGCTGTACAATGTCTTGTAATTTGTCCATGTGATTCGGCATGTTGTATTGTCACATTAAAAGGACACATGTATCGTGCAGAGATGAAGCTAAAACTCTTGTGTTTGCTAATGTCACATTGGTGCTTAAAATACCTCCGGCGTGTTCCCCTTTGAATTATATCTTTCCCATTTATACATATCCTAGCTAAGTAGAGATTATTAATTTTGGCTCAGTTGGTCGCAGCTAGCTTCTCTCGGGGCCGAACACCCCCATGGCAGAGCCAACGGAGGCGAAGCCGCAGGCGACCAGGCAGCCGGCGCTGAAGGCCTGGATGGCGAGCCACCGCCCCGTCCACGGCGCCACCTTGCCCTGCGCGAGGTACATCTGGACGGGGAAGTGGATGGCCAGCGGCCAGAAGGTGAAGGCGCCGATGAGCCCCACCACCTGGTTGAAGTAGGGGAACCACACGGCCACCGCCGTCGCCGTCGCCACGTTCGCCGTGCGGAAGCACAGCCTGGACACGCTCACGCGCCCGAGCAGCGGCATCTCTGCGTCGACGACGCCGGCGCCGAACCGCCGCTCCACGAGCGCGAACATGGGCTGCGCGTACACCTGGTAGCCGCCGAGGAGGTGGAGGACGACGCAGAGGTTGGCGAGGCCGACGAGCCAGTAGGGATCCCCGAAGCCGGTGAGGAGGTTCCCTGGGGTGCCGTCCCCGAACGCCGCATAGCCGAAGCACCCGCAGCCGAGGTAGAAGAAGGTGGTGACCGCGATGCTCGCCCTCGCCGCCCTCTTCATGGTCTGGCTCTCCGCCGGCGGCGACCTCAGCGTGTCCTCGATCTCCAACAGCACCAGGGAGAATGGGTAGGCGAAGGCGATGTCTCCCAGGGCCTGCGCCACGCGCCACACCTTCTGCGTCGGTGACACCAGGGAGACGCCTCCGATCCCGCCCTTGATGACTCCATTCTCTGAAAGAAATCGAGGAGCCGTCGTCAGAATCCTTTGCCTTTTGCGAGTCTCGTTGTTCGTACGCGCGTGTGGCGGGAGCGTTGTGCTATGGTTTCTGCACCGATCACTTTGGCGGCGCCGAGGCCGAAGCCGATGAAGGAGTAGAAGAAGGACATGACGGCGGCGAAGACGGAGAGCCACGCCATGCTGTGGAAGTCCGGTATCTGCGACAGCGCCACCTGCGCGACGCCGAACAGGAGCATGTAGTAGGCTTCCGATGACCCGCCGGCGCCGGCGGCGCAGCACGGCGCGCCTTGGCCTTCCCTGTGGTAGCAGTTGGCCCTCTCAATCGCCCTGCAAAATATAATGACCAACTAATCACAAGTCTACCCGCCCAAAAAAGAAAAGAAAAAGAAAAAGTAATCACAAGTTTATTACCTCATGCTAGCGGCCGCGGTGAGAGTGTACACCACGCTGTTCCCAAACAAGCTGAAGCCGAGGAAAAACCCGCTCAACATCTGGCTCTTCTTGCCTAGGTAGAGCCTGATGGCGTCGACGTAGGACCTGTTCCTGACGGCGGCGCCGCGCTCCGGGTCGCGGGAGATGTAGCAGTCGGCGAGCAGGGAGGACTGCACCACGGTGACCCCGGCGAAGAGCACCATGGCCGCCGGCCCCCCGACCCAGCCGAGCTGCGCCACGCTCCACGCCAGCGACAGCACGCCGGAGCCTATCACCGCCGTGATGACGTGCGCCATCGCCGTCCATACCGTGCCTGTCAAAGAAGCCTCACAGATCAAAACTCCCCGTCGGTAGGATGCACACATAGACAATTAGACATCATGCCTATTGTCTAGCCGTGCAAGCAAGCGACGGCTCACGCCGGGGTGTGAAGTCATCCTGAGAGGGGCACGCGCCGGAGCAGTTGTGATGCGTTTGGAATTGTGGTTATGCTTTCGCGTCGCTGTTGTGGCCGGCCAGGCCCAGAGTGGAACCCACTGTCATCACTGACAGTGACCGGCAGCTCTCCTAGTTTCTCGCTGAGACCTGAGCACCGTCGAACTGGATGTGCTATGGCCATGAACGAGTGCCCTCTACATGTTTCGAGCATGCCATGGCAGATTTTTGGGGGTGTTTACCAGCATGTAGATCAAGATAGTTCATGGATCATGTGGAACAACAGACTACATGGCTGGCTGGCTGGATGTACAATGCAAAGAACACATCAAAATCGGAAGTTTCAGACATGGGGCCGGGTTTGGAACTTGGAAGCTCATGACATAGCTTCTGACGAATCATCTGGTATAAAAACAAGGTATGCAATTACAATCTTGACGCAGGGACTTACCGGTTCTCTTCACCGGATGCTCCTCGGAGGAATTATCCGAAGAGGATCCTGAGAGCTTCCGAAGCAGCGGCTCTGCTTGGCGATCGCCTCTTCTTCCTCCCCTTCCTCCCATGGCTTCACTATCCTCTCCTATGTCCTCTTTCTGACAATTGTCCAAGAGACTTGGCTTGTGCGTATCAGCTTCATTATATAACTAAGGAGAAAAGAAATCCCTTGTACTGGTGGGTTTGGTAGTTGAAAACCACAAAACAACACAGAATTGTACAGTACGTCAGTAGTAGTGTGCTGATGGCGGGCACCTTGGCCTGTCCCGATCCGGAGTCCACCACACCACAGTTGGATAGTACTCCCTCCATGTTTCTACTTTATATACCAACTTTAGTATTCCCTCTGTCACAGTTTACAAGTCCTACGTGTATACCTAGGTTGCCAATTTTATCATCCTAATATAAACTATATAAAACAAAAGTTATACCTTTTGAAAATAGAACATCTAAAGTTTATATTGGTATATTTTTTGTAATATATGACTTGTATTAGGTTGGTCAAATTGACGATCTAGAGGTACGCGCACTCCTTATAAACTGAGAGAAAGGGAGTACCTTCTTTGTAAAGAAATATAAAAACATTTGTTAAATCACTAGATAATGATCTAGAAGCTCTTATATTTCTTAATGAAAAGAATATAAAATTAATATAAAGTAAAGACATTTTTTTGAGACGAAGGAAGTATCAAAGGCAGTCGGACCTAGCGAGCCTCCTGTGCCGTTTGATGAAAAATCGGTCTAGTGGACTCTGTACTAAAAAAACAACCTTTTTCTAGTGGACTCCGTACAGTCACCAACATATCACTCATTCATCATCAATTTGGAAGAGCGAGCTTGGTCAGGTATCAAATATCCCAATGCTTGCTTACAGCATCCCAGCCGCGTCCCTAACAGGCCCCCCAGACCACTTTTTTAGCGTCGGTGCAAAAAAAACGTCCCAGTCGTGCCCCCAGAACGATGAAAAG